AAAATCCAATCCAAACTAACAGCGACATAACGGCATACCTCTTTTTTATGTTATTTGATTGTTTGACGTCATGTTTAATGATGTAAGTGGATCGTGGGTTGTGTGAAGAGACTGAAGCCTAATCTACTGCAACGTAAAGATAGAACTGCCAACTGCAACAACTTCCGCGAATAAAGAGTCCTTTAAACGCGCTCTATTTTTATATAAACTTTTCAAAAAAGAACACACGTACGTTTATTTTAAGGGTGGAATTAGCATTAAAACTCCATTGTTTTACATCCAAAACTAACTAACTAATATGGCAGTAATTTAGGTTTTTAAATCTCACAAGCCCCATTGAGGGACCTGAGAGAAAACCTGGGGTGCTCAGAAACTGATGTTTCTCTTCAGCTCCAAACGCGAGATTAAGATATTAGACAAGAGTTATAGTCTGTTATAAGAGGTATGAATAATGTTTATGCACTACGTCTTATTTCCAAAGGTCTCGAAGGTATTTATATACAGCTTCATAAGCGCATGCGCAACATTTTATTTCTCTCTGAATGATGGCTTTGTTTGTTTGTTTTTGAATTTCGCGCAAACCTACACGATCGCTATCTGCGCTAGCCGTCCCTAATTTAGCACTGTTAGACTAAAGGGAAGGCAGCTAGTCATCACCATCCACCGCCAACTCTTGGGCTACTCTTTTACCAACGAATAGTGGGATTGACCGTCACATTATAACGCCCCCACGGCTGAAAGGACGAGCATGTTTGGTGTGACGGGGATTCGAACCCGCGACCCTCTGATTGCGAGTCGAGCGCCCTAACCACCCGGCCATACCGGGCCCTCTCTGAATGATCGTGTTCAATGCCTCACCATGCACACCTGTACGAGTACATTTTTAAAATATAAAAAGGCACATAGTAACACCAACAATACAGGTATAACTACTCTTAATATACCCATCATAGAGCTATCTGTAATATTTAGCTACCTGAAAGTTACCCATGACATAGCTAGTAGTTACCCATAATATACCTAGCTGTAATAGTTACCCATCATAAAACTAGCTGGGGAATGTACCCATGATATAACTAGCTTTAACAGATACCCATGATATAACTAGCTTCAAGAGGTACCTATGATATAACTAACATTAACAGGTACTCATGATATAACTAACTTTAACAGGTTCCAATGATATAACTAGCTTTAACAGATACCCATGATATAACTAGCTTTAACAGATATCCATGATATAACTAGCTTCAAGAGGTACCTATGATATAACTAACATTAACAGGTACTCATGATATAACTAACTTTAACAGGTTCCAGTGATATAACTAGCTTTAACAGATACCCATGATATAACTAGCTTTAACAGATATCCATGATATGACTAGCTTCAAGAGGTACCTATGATATA